AATATGCCATATTCGTAGTAGAACCACAAAATCTTACTGTCATTAGTTCTCAGATTTTAACTTGAGCTGCGCCATCTGCTTTATGAAATGTTAATGTGAACCATTTCACATACAGACACTTCTCAAATCTGATAAAAAAAAAAAAACATATATATTGAAACCATTATCAACCTGTTATTTGACTGAAGTTAAATGCAGTTTAATTTATAAATGTGATGCTGTCACTTGACCACTAGAAGGCGTCGTATCACCACTACAGATCCCGGGTTTGGCGCCTTTACCAACAAGTTGAAGGTAACATGCTTCAGCTAACAAACCACAGTTACTACAGCTATTGTTAGGAATGTAAAATCATCATAAATTATTACGGGACCTCCTTTAAGCTTTTCAGTATCCAGCATTTGCTAATATCAAGTTATCACAGTTGTACAGTGGCCACCATAAATGTAGGTTACCACAGTACACGTTGTTATCTTTCATATAATATGATGTCTTTGGGCTGTGTGAGCTGTGCGTGTGTTTCTGTGTCAGACTGGTCCACACATCATGTCCTCATCAGTTTGTGTCCTACAGTGATTGGAATCTGGAGTTCATTCTATGAACATTAAATATTTTTCGTCCATTTAGCTGGTTTTGCTTTCTATCAATAGACCAGAGCCTTAGGCCAGATTATACAATTTATGAGGTTTTTTCCTTCAATTTTTGTTTCAGAACTTCAGAAAATTAACCAGCTCATGTCGTTTCAGACATACACTTTTGATTGCATTTTGTCACTTAATCCTAACTATGCATTTTAATCCTTGTGTCACCATATATCATTGAAAGGCTTTTCAACGTATGTGCTGTCTTTCTTGTCTCCAGTTTCCTGCCCTTTTTGTGGACTCTTTCAAAAATCCCCTGCGGCTATCTAGGGCACTTATGTGTCACCTCAAATCCTTGAATTGCGATTTGGTAACTCTTCTCTCATCGCCTTTGATTGCAGTGACAGCACGCCTATGAGCTCACCTGACTATGGTGGGTGTGATCTGCTAAGATGCCACTGCACCTATAAAAACACCTAGACTCCGCCTCCAGCAGCAACACAACCAATCATCTGTCAACACTCCAAATATGGAAAGATCCTAACTCTTTAAAGAGCAGGTGAAGCATAAATAGCCTTTATTTCCTCCCGATGTGAATCTCTCTGTCTGATTTCTGTGCTGTTTCTCTGAATTCATTCCAGCTTAATGAAACAGCAAAGCGACTCACAATCGGGAGACTCCAGCTCAAACTGCTCCAGGACTAACGGCCCAGGAGGGGTTTGGTTAAAGGAAGTGTCTTGCATGGGAACTGAGTCTATGGGGAGGGGTATTACTACAGTATTCTTTAAGCATGTCAGTCATCAAAGCTGCCAGAGAGCAGTGGAGCAGACGATGGCTTCATGCTGCATTAGAGGGGTGTGTCGAAAGTAGCCATGTTGAATAGATCTGAGTGTCAGGGCTCAGATCTATTCATAAAGCAGGTTAGAAATGGAGAAAGAGTCCATATAAAACATACAATGGGAGGAAATCTGCTTTAGAACTGCACTCATGTCATGTGGGGTATCGCAGACAGATGTAGATTGGTTGTGACTGTAGATAAACTGGCTTTGTTTAAACCGCTTCTTCCCTGTATTTAAAGCATTTTAACTTCAGGCTAGTAGAGCAACTAGATGTTCTTATCTTGACCCTAACCCTAGCCTTACAGAATGAAACAGCTTTAAGCCTTTTTTTTT